AGGCCCTCTATTGAATGTTCTCCTTCCATAGCTTTACACCAGTTGAAAGGATGAATGGTCCAAGACTGCTGGAAAAGGGTTTATGGTCACTTACAACCTACAGAACAAAAATGGGAGTGCATTTATACACATCAGAGTTGAATCTTTGGGCATTGCCAGGGTGGGAATGGAATCAGACAGGGCCCTAGCCAGGGTGGGAATGGAATTAGACAGGGCCCTAAAATACTAATTTTGTGAATGCTAATCCCAACACTGAGAAGGTTCACCAGGATGTGAGGATGGTGATCCTACTCAATCTCCAATCAGGGCTTATTAAGATACTTAGGGATCTTAATAAGAGCATGGATTACATGTCCTGTTTGGGGCAGACAAGATGAAAGGAGATGGGTACAAGTTTGGGAATCCAGTCATGGATGCCCATGGAATTACACTGGCACAATAAAAGTTTTAACTGTGCAGAGCAGGCTCAGATCATTGGGAGCCAAGTGCCTAATGGCACAATGCAGAAGGTCAAGAGTGGGCAGTCAGCAATCGGGCTATGAAGAGGGTCATCACTCTCCTGACATTTGGGCAGGGAAGGTGGAGTGGGTACAAAAGATCAAGAGTCAAGGCAGCCACAGACAACTCAGCATTCAGCTGAAAACAAGGAAGGCAGCAGCTGCCAATAGGGCATGAAACTCGGGGTATGGACCCCAGTTAAGTACAAAATTTCCACAGGAAAAGGCAGAAACTTTGGTATTTAGAGGACAAAGGAGAGATACAAGCATTAAGAATCATACAGAGGCCATGTCTTCCACATAGACCTGCCACCAAAAAAGAAGTTGCCTGACACCCAGAGCAACAAAGGACCCCGACTCTCCTGGCAGATGGTCACACACGTTCGTTCCGTCATCATCAGACATCTTGAATCTCATAGCACTGGTGACCATAGTCTAGTCCAGTATCTGTAAAAGTCACTGTGGACTTTAAACTTCTTTATCTCTGGCATCTCAAATGGCAGTACACCGCTGCATCCCAAGATCACTGATGTCTTTTTTCTGAGAGTGAATGCAGTCATTTCATGACAGATGAAGCCTCGCACCAACAAAAAGCACAGAGCCAGCATCACTCACTTCCGACCAAGGTGAAGAACATCATTAATTGCATTGATGTAACCATTACAGAACCCATAGACAGATCAATGGAAATCAACAAGAAGAATTTCCATTCCTTTAACATTTAGCCAGTCTATGACCATGAGATTCCCCCATGTGTGTGCTTGCTATCCTGGTAACAGCTATGATTCCTTCTTACAATTCAGGTTGCTAAAAATCTTCACTTTAATTCCCAAAGTCCATTGATGGAATGCCTACTCATCCCTCTATGACACTCTCAGCTAAAGATTCTGACCCAAAGCCATCTGCTCACAAGAACAAGAATTAAGCAAGTCTTCAGGCTCCTAAAGATGCATTAAGGTGCTTGGACCAATCAGTGGTATTCTGAAATATGCTCCTGTTGAGGTCTCTTTCATTGTAGTGTTATGTTGCATTCTTCATACTTTGGCCTTCCAGAGCACAGTAGGCCTTCAGGACAATGAGATCCTGGAACAAGATACGGGATGGGGAGGAACAAGAGATGGAGCAGAAGAAGCCAGTGCAGAAACTGTAGAATATCAAATGCCCTGGCTGTACAAAGAGGTGGCCAGGCATAGGCAGGATTGAAATGTCTCTTCAGGATGCCACGTATGTGATAGATCATTTGATTAAGGGACTTTGAACCAAGCCCCTTTCTCCTAGGATAATAGGCTAGGTACCTACGTCACTCAAGTTAATGTATTAACATACCCATATAAGTAAAGGCTCACTGTATTATGAATGATGTACAGGTAATCCAGAGACTTCGTACTCTTCTTGATCTCCTTCACCACCTCATTACACTTTCTTTTTTGCTACGTTGCCAATAAAAGGATTCTCAGATGTGTACCTTGAAGTTTCTAAAATGATATAAAGGGAAACAATGCACACAGATGGTAAGACAACACCCCAGTATTTTGATCAGTACTTTCTGTCATGCAATAGCTTTCACACTTGGTCGATCCTATTCAATTTCCTCTTGTGCCTCAGAAGAGGTGGCAACAGTGTGCCCACGCACTGTTGGCCTGTGACTGAGATGCATATATTGCAGTCATCATCGTCATGGTTATGCTCCTCGGGTCATCTATGGAGGCCGGTTCAACTGCATTATTTCAAGGTCAGCTGTCCTACTTGGCCCTTCCACTGTTTGAAGGGCCAAGGAGGCCAGGGATAATTAAGATGCCCTGTGAAGGGTAGCAGATTCATTCTCCTCTATGACACCCTCAGCCTGGAGGGGCACACCAACTGCAGTACAACTGGCATCCACTCCAAATACCTCTGTGCCACTGATTAAACTTAGCATGCATCCTATGCATGTCAGCACCTAGCCCCTACATCCACTCAATGATGCAGTATATGACTCTACAGGAGGTTAAGCACTTCCTGTATGGAAGAGCATATGCACCCATAGCCCTGGTGCACATGAGCTGCATGAACTCCTTTATTCTCAGCCTGTGTCCCTGCACCATCTCAAGAAATTCTCATATGTGGGAACACATCTCATGCTTCAATTACAAGCAGAACCTCCTCTCCAGTGACATGCAAGGCTTGGTACCTCTACTAATCTAATTATATAATCCCTATAGTGTGGAAGCAGGCTATTCAGCCCATCGAGTCCAAACTGACCTTCCAAAGAGCATCCCACCCAGACCCAACCCCCCCGTAACCGTGCATTTCCCATGACTAATCCACCCAGCCTGCACATCTTTGGACTGTGGGAGGAAACCAGACTGTGGGAGGAAACCAGAGCACCTGGTGGAAACTCACACAGACATGGAGAGAATGTGCAAACTCCAATCATGTCTGTGTCTGTTCTCCCACTTTGGAGGGGAATGTCCAACAGCTGCCATTGACACCTCCTGAACACATACCATTTTCTGCACTGTCTAAACATATGCCAGAAGCCACCACGACAGGAGTATCTGCAATGGTGGACCGTGTGGTTTCCAGGCATGACAGTGCTTCCTCAGCTTCATGAATTCCCCATTAAGCTGTGAAAGGAGTGGAAGAGTGTCATTGAGTGGACAGCTACATCCATTAAAGACACAAGAGCAGAATGTAAGAACCAGCCTAGGAGAGCAAAACACACTGCAGTGCTGAGGTTTCACAATACACCTCTTGCTCGCCATACTGCTGAGCAAGGTGGTACCATCTACTGACATTTCATACCGAATCAGCACCATCCGCATTATTGGCTTCTATGTTGCCAGGCCCAACTTTGTCCACATCTTGAATCCCGCTATTTCCTTCATTAACACTATCCCTGGGTGGGAGGGGTCCCACTACCCATCATTGTCACTCCCACTGTCCAGGAAGATGACTTTCCTCTCCCTCACAGAATCAAACATCACCGACAAGTTGTTTTCCAAGAACGGAGGGGCTGTTCTTCCCTGAGTGCCAGCATTTAACTTTTCAGTGCCATCTTCACACATTTAAATCTAAACCTCACTTTGGATTCTTCCAAATTTAAACAGCAGCGGCTGCCACAGGGATTTAAATTAAGCTTCTGCTTCATTTACCACTTCTGCTCTCACCCTGCAGCCTCTAATTAAATGTCAAAACAGGCTCCAAATCCTGTTAAAGGGCAGTCTCCAGAAGCACCATGACTTTAATCAACTTCCTCTTGGAGGCAGAGCCAAAACTACCAACTTTTAATTCTCAGCCCCCTTTCAGAGTTTTTGCTCGAGATTATAACTCAGAATCTAGGCCAAAAGTTCCAACTTTCCATTTGCCAAGGGTTTCATCCTTATATTTTTTCAATCTGAGGTGAGAATTCTTTAGCTTTCTGTCTCAGGAAATACAAATGACGGGCAGCCAACATCTCGGTGGGGAGTGAATGAGGAGAAGCAATCTATGGTGAAAATATGTGACAGCGCCAACCTACCGTTTTGATGCAGTGAGAAGTATTCTTCCGCAGAGGATTTGCAGGCAAACAGGCATTTTTAGTTTAGGAAGACCACTTTCCTCTCCCACCTTACCGCTTCAGACGCAACATGGGGCCATAGTTGGAGGAAGGAATCAGACATGATACGTTCTGCAAAGTAAGGTCAGTCCATGGAATTCTGAGACCCAAAAGAATGGACAGTCCCAGTGTATATAATTTTGAACCACTGACCTCGCATACAAGGTCCCTCTCGCAGAACAGATAACAGATAAAAAAGAAACAATGCCTTAAGATGTTGATGTTACCGTACTGAAAATTATTTTACAGTAAACACCGAAACGTGTTAAAATTTTAAAACTCAGAAACAAATTAGCGACACTTACCTGGTGAAACCACCAGGTCTGGCAGCATCTGTGAAGGAAAAAACAGAGTTAACGTTTCGGGTCCGGTGACCCTTGTTTTTTTCCCTCACAGATGCTGCCAGACCTGCTGAGCTTTTCCAGCAACTTTGTTTTTGTTCCTGATTTACAGCGTCCGCAGTTCTTTCGGTTTTTATTAAGGTGAAACCACCATTGTCTTGGTTGGACGTGACCTGTGGTGGTTG